TGATCTTTCAGCCGAGCCTCAAGCGACAGTGATGCATCAAAAGATATGAAAGAGAACCCCATACATTTTTCTTGAAACTTTTCGCCCCTCCGCTCCATTTAGTTTGCTTGCATAATACGTAAGTATCCTACCTATATATTCCCCATTTTACGAGTTAAGCATAGCCGAAAGCGGTCACGTACCCACCAAACCATGAAGCGATTGAAGTTTGAAAAAATCTACGAGGAATTATGGCTTTATTTACCTATCAGCAAAAAGCAATATTTTCCGTGCTGCTCGTCTATTTGAAAGCGCAATTTTATTTATTTTCCAACAAAGAACTCTATAAAACTCACACGGATAGTAACTGTGTATACATAGTAATTATCTACGCGATAAATCCTGAGCCCGTTCTTTTTTCGTAAAAACGTCACTGACAGCTGTGATGGTAAAATGCTGTCTTATGAATATATTATTATAGAAGCGGGCACTCTCCTCCGAACTCCCCGCGCTAGTGTATTATAGATCTAACCAACCCACTTTCAATTTATCTATTCTATGGCTACGTTAGTTGGCAAAAATGTAAACAGGATGAGAATAAAGCAGGCAACAAAAGCTTCTCATAGAGCTAATTGCGTTACTAACAGAAAGTATGCTGCGTGTTGTCAGTGGTCGAGCTAAATTGAAGCGAAGGTTTTAATGTAATTAATTTTCAGAGAATTAGACCTTTCTGCTATTTAATAATTGGATAGGGAAGAAAATTTATGATGGGTAGAGGTAGGGTATTAAATAACGTAGTACGATAAACATTTATGTATTAAGTTTCAGTAACAATAATACTATTACTCGTATTATTATTATTACTATAGTCTCGAACCATCTACTAAGACCATCGTTGGAGAGACCACTTAGTACATAAATCTAAAGGGAAGTGGTCAAAGCTTGGTAATTCGATTTCAGTACAATGAATATCGGCTTCCTGACTAACCTACTTCCAGTTATTAAGCATCGATACAATCTATTTCAAATTTTCGAAACTATGACAGATTGGAAACGGGGAAAAATCCACTTTGTAGCCAGTTATTTGCAAAACTAGTCCGGTAAAATGTAAAGTGGATACTTCATAGTTTCTTTTTAATTGCTCCTATTCTTTATGTTCTTTTCACTAATCAAATGACAATTAATGCTGTAGACTACCAAAGAAATGGTTTTAGGTTAATGACCTCGATCGAATCATATTTACAAAACCAGCCTTTTTCAAGGTTTAAAACTAGTAAAAAAATAAAAAATAAACTTTAAGTAAGTAAGATCTTTTTAAAAATATTTCCACAATGTAATTTAAACTCGGAATACGGGGAAATTAATATGAAGATTGTCAAGCGTATCCACTTTTTCATATCGTCGCCTTATGAGAAGGGAAATATTTTCTTAGCCATGTAATATAATGCCACCTGTAAGGTGGAGTAGGTAAGGGTGGAGTTTGTAAAACAATAATTTTATCTAACAAAAAGCTATCGAGTATAGTTCCATTACAAATAAAATCCGATAACATATGAATACAAGTTATTAAACAGTAATAGAGAAATTATTAAAAAAAACGATTTTCTGTTATGACTTTAGTTTAAATAACTCTTTCATGTTTGGAAAATTATCGTGTCATTATTCCTGCCTGACTAAAAACCAACCGTTCATGATCTAGATCCAAACCGGGCCACAATATTTCATTTTGCTTGCGCCCGCAACCCGTAAACTTTTTTTGTTAAATTTTCTGATGGTAAGCAATCAACGCCGGACACCATGGCAATGGAGAAGTTACGAGTATATTGCCGTCTTTTTGTGGATTAGGGTTTTGTAGATTAAGAGATTGGGTCAGAATTTGCGAGATGAAGGACAGGGCCTCCAGTAACACACTGCGAAACGCAACGCTGTGGTTGTTTTACGCCGGTTTTCGGCGAGGTCACTGTCACTCCGATCGACACCAAAATCTAGGACAATTTTTGTACCTACACAGAAAGACTGATATTGTATAAAATATTAAGAAATGTTCCGTCCGGATCAAAACCCCGACACATTGCGCGGTATCTGATTACCCAGTCATTGCGCCCAATGTGCAAATTTAGCCGCGTACATTTTTATAAGGGGAAAATCATCAAATGACTTCTCTTACCGAGGACGTGGCGAGAGATAGTGCCAGACTCTTACTGACTAAAAATATCCCTGTATCTTCTCCTGCCCTAGGATGAGGCCGCGGTGCCTCAATGCGATTGACGCGCCAAGCGTACTATATAAATGTATACAAGCAATATAAAGTACATATTTGTGCATGGAGTTATATGTTTATACACTGTTCCTTCTCTGACGTTCTCTGAGAATGTTATCTAAGGCTATCGGTGCTCTCGACCTTACCGTTTAATATAGGTACTTTCTGTACCAATTTAATGGAACAACATTGGATTTCACGACTTCAGATTATTAAAGATAATTTTGAGTAGACATTCAAGCAATTACAATGACAAAAACAACAAATACTAAGGCAATAAACATGTAGACATTATTTTTAACACAGCATTATTGTTATAGGATTAATATTATCGATAAATAATAAGAATACTGAAGTGTGTGACAAATTGGGGCGGAACATTGCACAAACAAATATTTTTTTACTCCAATTGAACGACTCGGTCCATTAAAAGTTTGTAAGCAGTTTTGTGATGTCCCTTATTTTTTACATTGCCCCCACACTGTTAAATGCTAACCAATTATTCGCTGAATTTTGAAGAGATGAGATTTTTTTGTATTGTAAAAGATTTAAATTTAGAATAGTTTTTGATCAGGCGTTTTTGAAGTTCTTTTATGAAGAACTGAGAAAATAATGCTACCAGCCAGGTATTATCGATCATGCATTTTTGAAAGAAAATAACGTCTATTATTCTCGCAACTTTCACGTTTATAATAGTAGTAGGGCAACCTAAGGATTATCTGTCAATCGACGGCACGTCACCAGTCACTACGTTCCTTGATTGACAGTTGTATGACAGCACTCGTCTCTCCCACACGAATTCTTTTTCATATTTTACCCAACAAAATTCACCTTTGAACACACATAACCATTACAAGAGCACTTATTCCAAACGTTTTCAGTCAAATGTAGTTTTATTTCACCGCTCAATTTTAAAGTAGCCGGTATTTACCTATACGAGGTCAGTGTAGAATAGCGAACTACAGTTTTTACTCCCCCATCCAACTTCTCTACGTCAAAGCGTGTCAATATAGGGTGTGCTCTTTTTGGGGTGGTATTTTGCGTCCAAAACCAGCAGTCAACTTGCGGGTTCTCTATTTGGGCCTATATGAGAGCGAGCCGTCCCAAACTTTAGAGTATCTGCATTCTCCAGGCCAATATTCGAGGTTGATTTCCTGAATGTTCAACTTTGTTTCTAATTAAGCAATTAGCCCATTTTTAGTTTTCGCTCGACGTTTGGCTCACGTTCCAACTTTTGCCATAAGAAAATTATCTGATTTTACGTAACAATTTTGCCCAACACGTTTTCAAGTGATTTAATATTTTATGTAACTAGTTTCGGTCTCGGGAGGCGTTCTATTTCGATTGTTAGTTTTAAATTTTAATTTATTTACAGGTTTGAGTCTTCAAACATTTAGATACTCAATATTCGTACAATTTTGACATGATTGTTTGAGAAATACGCGACAAGATTGTCCATTACTTATAATAGCTTAGGATTAAAAATGCAAAAGTAACATTAGAGAAGGCGTCTAAAAGTTACAATTCAATTTCAATACTAAGGCAAAATATTCAAACCACTCAACTTTAAGACGTTCTTATAAGTATTTCTGTCGCTAAAGATACAGAGGCAGCGAGATACTTAAGTGCAACTTGAATTGGAGCAGCGGTTCAGTATCTGGTCGCTAGCATACAACGTACAATATCATAAATAAAAAGTATTTTGAATCATATTATTTATTATGCTGTTAAATAAATCTGTATTATAACGGTAAGGCATTATATGGCTCTACATTATGAAAAAGTGGTAGCATTAAGCCTGGCAATTATTTACTTACATCGAAAACAAATAAATAATCGATAGTCACGTAGAAATAAAATCGTATATTTGAATTGCTTATTCAATAACAGGCATAATAATATGTCTATACGATAGAGTTAAAATTTCAGAATAACATTGTTTGGAGAGCAATTTTATCTTGAATATTGTTGAACGCTCTGTCGCTCTTGATAACCCCCGATATTTTCGTAGTGTATACAAGCTCGGGGCACAGTACAAGGGGCCAGTAACACTTAAGAAGAACATTATTGCAATGCAGTGGTCTCGTGGTTGAAGTGTCTGGGATGTTGGGACACTCTCCTACAGCGTGATACGGCAATAACACTGCACATTCTGCCCTCAGACACTCGTTATTGTCATATTATACGGGGTCTTGGCTGATTCAGATGTTTAGTAATGCGTGATTATGACTTGAGTGTTTTTATTGTAGATTGTGGTGGATATGTTCCGTATTATATGAGGGGAACTTAAGACCTACGTTCAGTTGAGTATAGATTAAGCATATAACAGATACGGTACGACTCTGTCGTCCATTTATTTTTGAAGATGTTTTACCGCCATCGAGATGCTTTATCAAATAAAATCAAGTAAATAAAATCATATCGTTTATTAGGAAAAAAGTTTGTATACAATTTACCCTTAGTAGGTTACTTCAACATTTATAAACCCACAGCAATTAACCTCGTATACAAATTAATAATAAACAAAATATTAATATTTTAGATCTAATACGTTTAGGTATTATAATTGCTCAAAATTGCCTCAACGCCCAGCGGTTCAAAGTTTGACAGCAAACATTGTTTTCTTCTAACAAAATTGCTGCCACAGATAGAAAGTCCAAGTTTATCTGTTACCGATTTAATTTGATGATTCACATCGGAGAGAAATCCGCGGCCGGCTTGTTCTTTGGTTATTCGTCTTTTGTCTTATTTTATTATGCTGTTAGTCAGTCGCGGCGATAAAGGCTAGCGAGACGGCTTGTCTGCTTGTTCCCGGTTTTCTCGGGGTTGTTTATCCGGCTGGGGGTAGTTAGCGCGGCGGAGTGGCGCCCCGCGGCAGTGCCTCTGTAGCCCGCCCAGCGATGGGACGCTCCACGCCCGCCCAACTGTTCCCTATCGCCCGCGTACGACCTCAACAACACAGGTGAACCGCGCGACCATAAAAAGGACAATCATCTAATGTGACTCGGACAAAATGACTCCTTTTATACATTTATATTGTGTTATATGGATAGAGTTACTGACTGGCTGCTGCACCACCACAGGTGAGTTGATAGTGCAATTAGCATTTTTATTGAGTTCGCCGGCAACTTATAAAAAGTTTTGTGTAAAATACGAATTATGTTTTACTGTTGCGGAAGTAATAGATTGACGGTATTTTAGCGTGTCTCCTTCGAACTCCTTTAAAACTTTCTAGTTAGAAGCCCTGTTATTGTTTTTCTTTGTAGGTTTAATTTAAATTGTGTTTTGTTATAATTTTAATTTTGATTAATATCAACAAAAAGTATATTCAGTATCTCTTTGTATGTAATAGTTTTGTTATTTGAATAAAACACGAACGAACTTTATTTTTTGCTTCTTCTTAAATTGTATTTATTTTATTCGTCGACGGGGAACATGAAATATCGGTATAATAACATAAGTATTTTCCTGTTTCCTTTGTATCCTGGCCTCTGGCCTTGCGACTGGATGTTTCTTAGATAAAAATATTTCTTGCTGTTTTATTAAACGTTATTTTTTAATATTAGATATGAAGTAAACTTAAACATTTATCATTATGTAACGATATTTAGTTCAGTTCTTTAGTTATCACCCAGTCAATTAATCAAAATATTTATACAATTAATAAATTTTGTTTTATTGGTAGTCATAAAATAAAACCAGATAAAAGTACTAGTAATTATACTAACCGCTAATAAACAGTGCAAAATAATTTATTTTCATTTAATTCGTTTCCTATATGTTGACCTTGTAACCAAATGAATAAAAAAATATATTATATATAAAAAAATGTTTTAGTAAAAACTTTATGGTCTATGAATTAAGACTGTTATACGAATATTTATTATCCTTCAAAGTTTTTGTTTTACTTTCATACGTACAATTAAAGCCATTTTTTACCCGGTAATCTAATTTCAAATTTTATATAAAAAACTAAAATCTATCGGGAATTGTATTACGAAAAATATTCACTACTATGCCACATTTCAATAGAAGGCCTATTAGAGTGAACTTTTATATCCTAAATGTTCACACCGACACACAAAAATGTATTCAGCCATTTGTCAGATGTTGCTGTTATTTTTTTTTTCATTAGTTTATAACTTTTTTTTAATATTTAGTTTTTTCACAACACAAATAAAGGGTCATATGAATGAGTTGGCTACAAAGACTACTTTAATTATAATAAATTAAATTTTAAAGCAAAACCAACATTTCAGGTATTTTTTTTTTAAGATCATTGCCCCACACTAAATTAATGTGTACTGGGGTTTCACTTTAGGTTTTTTTTCGGATTTAGAGTAAAGTTATATAACTTAACATTTAATTATAATCTTGCAAAACTAAATGTGTACAATGAATATCAGCTTAATCGGTAGAAGAAATCTGCTTCAAAATTTAGCTGAAATATTCCACTTTGGAAACATACATAACCAATATATATACATACCTACATACATACATTACAATTTAAATAAAAGCTTGTAAATAAATTACATCTAAATTGTCCCTTCGACAGTAGCAGCGATTCCTAAGCTTCTCAAGTAGATGTATTTCGAGGGTCACAAGACGTTATTCCCATAACATACGAGTAATTCGGTTAACAAGGGGGAAGGATCACAAACAAAATGTACCGGGACTAGTGACGTGACGCATAGCCGGATATCCTTGGCCATCTTCCGAGAACCGTGACTTTATCGACGTTTTTTCTCGATGTAAATACATAATGACGTCACTAGTTATTGACGATCTCGCGTTTGCTCTTTCGCCTCCCTAATGGGAGAATTTATTCACAAACGATGTTGACTAAACACACATAGGCGCATGTATGCACTCTCAAATAATTCGTATGCACCGTTTAAGCCCTAAAAGCTTTTTAAACAAATAAGCAGACGTTGGTTTTTCACTTGCGATAACGGGAATGGATTTTTCACTAAAATGCGGAGCAATTGCGCTCGAATTGTCTCGTTTGAATTTCTTTTGTTGGTATTGCTTTGGCAAATCCATATCTATCTAATATACATTCATTGTGCATAAAATAATACGACTGCCGTAAATAAACAAAGAAATATTGAACCATAAACAGGTTACTTCCCTATTTAATAAAAAACAGTATAAAACATAAACCTATTCAATAATAAAACGCTTAATACAAACAGAATCCTGCACCAAAAAATAATTTCATTATAAAGAAATTTTTCTCGCTCGGTAACTTGAAAATCTATTTCAGTCATTATAACTTTAATAACAAAAATTCAAATGCTTTGATCCCCCTTCTGCTTGACGTTTCTTCAAAAGCAAATTATAAAACAAAGATTGAAGAACGAAGTGAATATAATGTTGGGGAGCAATAATAAATTGTTATTCTGCAGACCATTCCGTTTATTGAATTGACACGATTCAAAGTGACGAGAGTACGAAGCCCGTAGAAATTTTAAACATAAAAATGCGGTCAAACGCGAAAGGTCTACGAAATTACGTGCAAAAAATACGTAAAACAACCCTTAAAGAAATAAATACAAAACTTTTTGAAAACAGGGCGAACATAAAACAAACATCTTAACCCTCATCCGCTTGTGTAATGTTTGCCAAAAAATAACTAAAACACTTTTGATTTTTAAAATTAACCCTCGAGTTATATTTTAAAGAAATGGGTCATCTGACTTCTCATTATTTTTATTAAATAAAATTACAGAAACTCAAATTGCTCGTTTTCTAGCGTAACGTAATACAAAAAACTTTTTCTAAATTGGTTTTAAGGTTGTGAAACTTTTTTCATAAATCAGTTCTCTGTAATAGCCCAGCGTATCTTTAAATTATCTTCGTTTTCTTTACTTTTAGTGCTTACTTCGAAAACATTTTTTATTAGATTCATTGTAATTAATCAATGCATTATTGCGTTGAAATTTTATTGAATCTATTCAAGCTCTGACGGTTAAGGATAATGAAAGTCACTATTTTATTAGTTTCGTACCTATTATAATGGTACGCTTATCAAGGTATGGATAAGATGAGATCGTTATATCTGTACGCAATCAATGCAAGAGTGTAGTCGAATCGGAAAATTAATAACAACTTCGTACTTTTTTTGAACAGATAGATAATCTATAATATTCTTTAATGTCAATTTAGTAGCTAACAAATTTTTTTAATGGGACAACTAAATAAAATCATAAATCTTAAATTAACTACTCTTTGTCAATTCTAAACTAAATGCAAGTATTGAATAGAATACTAGGAGAAAGTACTTTAAGTGCATTCATAGTAAGATGGCAATAAAAGTTTATACCTAATGAACGTTTCAATGCACCTGCTACACACGATGAGAATTTATGCATTAGAGCTGCGAACACGGATTTATTCAATGGAAACCGTTTTTCTTTGAGAGTGCCGAGATAATGAAGGTGAATCAGGTAAACTCGAGCTAAGTAAAATTCTGATACAATTGCAGTAACTTATCATGTTTCTTTTATGTTGTCTGCCTGTACACATGAAAACATTATACAACCTAATATACTAATTGAACGGTCAAGTCTTTACTAATACTTTTAAAGATAGGCACATGAAATTAAGGCACAAATGGAATTGGACACTAATACCTAACAGTAATTAATCAGAAACACATCAAAACAACATTAATAAAACTAAAAGCTTGCTAATAAAAGAATAAAGTTACCGAAGAAGCATGGAAATCCGATACACCAAATCTGGCTACACAGATCGCTCTCAAATAAATTAATCTTAATGTACATATGCTCTTAGTTCAAATATGAAAGGGCGACTTCTGAATTCAATCCACTTATGGGTAAGTTGGCAATTGGGCTGGAAGCGGCGTGTTTACCCTCGCAATGACCCCGTGTCAACGGGGCTTGAGAAGTTGCGACCATCCTCACACTTGGATCTACGAAACTATATTCGTACATTGGCCGTGTTTAATTTATATTAAGGCCGGATTGTTTCTACGAAGTTAGCCACAGTTTTGCCAACGAATAATTTGATTACGTTTAATTTAAACTGTGTAGTTTTGTGGTGGCCGAATTTTCATTAAGTATACCATATTGCAGATAAGACATAAAATAATATTTTTAGAAACAAACATCACTATACCTTTTTCTTAACTATTCATCTGTATATAAACGTCTATATTGTTAGTAACATAAAAATAACTCTAACAGGAACTTTCTTTGTTTCAACACTTCCTAACACTTGGGGGAGAAACAAATTAACACATAGAAATAATTTGTTACACGTGTCACGCACTATAACATTATCGATACAACGCCGCATCCACTGAGCTCACTCGACGCTGTCAATTATTCATCCCTAGTCGATAATGGAACAATCCTGTCGTTGCCGCGGAGTGGGCCTGTCAACGCTAGACGTAATGCCATATATACCATCCTATCCGACAAAAATCTATCCCAGTTTAATGGGCCATACAACGACTCGAATAATTAAGGAAGCAATTTAAGTATTTTTGAAATTGTAAAGAGATTTCTATTCACAATTTATTTCCTGCATAAAACATAGCGGCTCTTATAAAACGACTCATATTTCCATCGGAAGAGTGTTTTGCGGAAAATGTTTGTGTATAAATTTTCAATCTGTGACAAAAACGGAGCGTAACGCTTTTAAAAAGTTAAAACCATGCACTGTGGATACTTCGGTTTTGTTATGTTGAAATAGCGTTTTGTAGAATTCAATTGACGCTCATGCCATGCAGAGAGATCACAAAATATATAGTTCAAGTAATTACTTATGGATGGATACAATTAGGTACATTGTTGCGGAAAGTAAAGTTTCAATAGTGAAACGTACTTAAGTCGGTGATTAGGTATTATTAGGGAGGGGAAGCAGAGTGCGCTATTTATCATCGCTGGCATAATTAGGGCTCTATAGTTAATGGTGGTACCAAACATTAGTTAGTCAGCTATTTTATTTTAGTTTATGTTTTCAATCAACAACAGTAATAAGCTACATTTACACCATGCAGATCTCTTGCCTGTTGCAGACAAATTAAATAAAACAATTATTAACTTGCGTGATCTTAACAATGCATGAGGTATAATGTAATCGAGCTTTATTGAATTCAATTAATTATTAGATTTATTAATTCGATTAATTCAATTATTAGATATAATACTATAAAACCAACCAGATAGATTACTCTTTGTCTAAATGGTACTAAACGCAAAATTGTTGAAAGTTTTCAATTCGTAAATCAAATCATATGTAAGAAATAATGTTACTGAAAATCCTCATAAAACCCATAATTAGTGTCAATGTATGTATAGAAATCAACTGATCCTTACTTAAGTTACGCTAAAGCTATTTTAGTTACCTACAAATCACAATTATAGGTTTTACTACGAATAAGTTATTCTATGAAACACGTTCAAAATTATATATTACGATCACAAATGTATGTAGTTAGGATACCTACACAGTATTATAACTTAGCATTTACCCATATCTAGTAAATATTCTATTAAAATTAGATTATGTCTTAGGTCAAATGAATATCTAAAGGGTAAATGGGCGTGGATTTTGTATAAAACCTACAATGCCGAATATTTAGACACGCTAGAATAATATCCAATGTTTTAACGTGAATTGTAATATACGATTCACTATTAAAATATTCAGATTGAAGTATTGACATTAATGTAATGTCAGAGTAAATTAAATGACTTATTTAAGTCGAATTGACGAATAATGTGTTTGCGAACACATCATCATTCACTAGTAATTGAGTTCTTATTAATGAGCAGTAGTGTTCAAATTAATCACTTTCATTATTTAGATCATAGCGTTTAATAGTTTGAGTGATAGCGTTTTGACCGCTAATATGAAATGTTTTCGTATTATACTCGTAGATATAAATTTATAAGCTACCTGTATTTTACGTCGTGGTGGCCCGGAGGTTATGGTGCCCGCTTATCATGTATGAGGGTGCGGGTTCGAAACCTAACAACTACCAATGTGACATTTGCGAATAATAAGTACTTTTTATAGTTGTTTAGACACTACCAACATACGGTGAAGGAAAACATCGTGATCTTTATAAATTATAATTATAAATTTGAAATCCGCCAAGAGCAAGCGTGGTGACCATTGCTCAAACCTTCCCCGTGTGAGAAGATGCCTTTGCTCAGCAGTGGGTATTTATAGACTGATGATGAAGGTCTATTTTTATACGATTTATAGTTTTCCTATAGACATGTTTGAGTGGTCAATTAGTTACAATTTACCGTCCAAATAATACTACAATGTAGTACTTTCAGGACTCCATTCCGCGTAGTACGTAACTGATTTAACTGACACGTGCGTAACACAATTATAGTCCGCGTACGTACAATTAAAACTTTATCCACAGACACAATAGTTTCCGTTTAATTACTCGACAAAATTACAACAATTTTAAAACAATAATGGCCGATATACTTATACTACAATCGGACGGTAATTTGTCCAAGTTCTTGTGTCGAGACAAAGATGGTGGCAGCAACTTCGAAGGATAAATGTTAGAACCTTTTTTATATAATTTACGACTTGTCTAGAAGCTTTATCAAAGTCTTTTTGGTCTAGTCTTACTAGTTGAATACACGGTTCGTGAGTGAAGTTTCTGGTTAATGTACCGCGTCGACTGAAACATTGTACTTTAACTGCACCATTCTAAAATGCAAGATCCTTAGTATGTACTACTATTAGTATATATCTGCTTAATGTTCTATATTCACTGTCATAGGTCATTAGGTTTGATGTACATAAATAAAATGATAACAACCCGAGGCTACGGCAAAGGCATAGTATTATAGTTGGAATAATTTCTTCTACAAACAAACCTTGACGTTACCAAAAATAGCATGCGTTGATTTTATCGACTACTAAGCAAACTTGAGATTTAAAGTATTCAATTTATATAATATGTTCCCTGTGCTTCCTTTGAGATTAAAGTTATTATAATCGAGTAGAATATTACAATCATGTTCTAATTACAGGTCGGGAATTACCCACCGGGCAAAATGTAGTGTCTGTAGCACCTATAGAAGTTCCCGATGGTAAGTGTTTTATCTGTAAATATCAGTTATCGAGAGATAATACTTAATTAATAATTTTGTTTAGGTACTTTTTCGAACCTGCCTTTCTTTCATAGTATACCGCTACAAGGTTTCCAGACACATTATTAGTTCTTAATTAATTCATGAATACATTATCGTTTAGGTTTTCTAGTGCCTACCTAGTTTTCAAAGTGTATCTAATTAAACATTTTATGTTAGGACCGATGTATTTTAGTTTCGTATTTTAAAAATATCGATGAATTTAAAAATAAAAAGCTTGTCGCTAGACGTAGTATAAACCCAATCTAGTAATCCGCAAATATTCCAACTCAAATCTGCGTTAATCTAAATTATTGGACGATGTGCTTGACCTTTCATATTGAGTTAACTTCGAATCAAGTTTGATGGAGTCCCGCAATTAATTATCAAAATAAAACCACTGGGAAGAGAATAAGGGGTGATTTTCATTCGCTAACCAACCCCTTCGTCTCCTTGAAATCAAACCTCGTCGTGGTAGAGCGTTTTAAATTCATGCGAATTTTAAAGGACGTTGTTAAGCAATTTGGATCGCAAGCTAAATTTATGGAAATAATTGTATCTTTTTTAATATAGTGTTGGTAATAGCAAAATCGTATTTAGTACCGCTATGACGTAGAAAGTGACTAAACAAACACAAAGTAACTTTTATAGTACTTCATTCCAAAAACAATAAAACAATTCCGACTGTAACTCCGAAGCTTGATCGCGAAAACAAAATTGTTTTCTTCTACTCGGTATCAGTTGTTTTGTGATGAGTCAAACGACATTATTAAGTTTCTCGGTCGCAGATAGATTTACAATTTAAATGTCTTGAACGTTCTTACAAGCAGCGTGTTGCTCCACAGTCTACATTGTAGAACGAGCTTAAGATCCGTGTTTTCAGCATCACAGCTTTACTAAATTAATGCTCGTTATCTTAATCCATTTGCGGATAAAATTAGTGGAAGGAAAATTTTAAAATATTTTGCTTCCATTTTTAAAATCTTTTGAAGTTGAGCAGGGTTAAGTACATTGAGTTCTGCATTTTATGCTAAAACAGGTTGCTGAAGATTAAGTGGCTCGTCAGACAAGCAAGATGTTTCTAATAATCATCGTTAAAATAAAATCGCACGACGGGTTTGCGCTTTCAACACTTGAAGACCACTGGTCAGCTTAGAATGCTAGTTTTATACTTATAAACAAACAGACACAAAATGAACAAACAATGAAACTAATAATTAAGAGTAAATGCGTAAACTGGCGATAGTTAGAACAAAAATCATGTATTGTATTTTTATAAGATATTAAGTAGATACTCATATACTTTACTCGGACATGAACACAGTCTATAAATGTTAAAGTTAATGCCAAGAGCTGGTCTCCAAGCGTGAACAACATTTGGGATTAGGAATGTAAGCCCGTTTGCTCATGTTCGAGTGATCTGAGCCTAACGTGCCGTGAGGAAATCTATATCGGAAAGCTAGGTTTATATAACAAGGTTTGACGTTTGACGTTACGTTTCATATTACAGTTTACACTTGAAACATCTAACATATTCTAGAATTTCTAGGTATTTACTGATGATATATGAGGTGATTTAAATTATATGTTATATGTTTATATTATATTACTAGCGGCCCGCCCCCGCTTCGCACGGGTCCAACTATCTCGCTATCAAAAGGTCAACTTTTTCCTAATCTTCCCCTCTACTTTTCTAATATTTTCTTTGATAAGAACATTCTCCTGTCAATAACAAACACAACAAAAAAAGAATTAGCAAAATTGGTCCAGGCGTTGTTGAGTTATGCGCTTACCAACACATTTTGCGATCCATTTTTATATATAAAGATATTAACATTATTTTGCGGAAAACAAAGTGAGTGAGTTTTACATGAGTTCATTTTGTGTAATACGAATCAACAATACTATATCAAAATAATTAATTAATAGACTGAATGTAAATTGTAATTGTACCGGTGTACGTTATCCGCATTACCCTCAGATTTCAGTCGGCCATTTAAATTGAAATAACACTCGTAAATACCCAACATTTTAATCAAAATCGCATAAACAAAATGTGTAATCCAAAACGAGATAGAACTTTAAGTAGGTATGTTTAAAAAACTAATTTAAATACATACTGACCGTGTATCGTAGCAAATAACATACTTTATCTAAATCTCAGGACCTTTTCGCGACCGCTCACTTTTTAGAGGTCGCTCTAGATTGATGTTTTTTTAGCATTGTGCTTCTTATACATTATTTTGTCGGTGAAAGAGGGATACAGCGACAAACCGCTATTTGTCGTTGGTGGCCGGGTATAAATCACGCAACCCTACGGCTAGGGTCGCCATGTATTCGACCTATATGTAGTCCGGTATTTATGCCACTTATCTTGGCAAGCGAAGGAAGACAATGATATATGCATTCGTTGAAACTAGTGGTGGCGAATCAGCTTAATTACTCATTCAGTACACTGCTTTTTTCAAGCGACTGTAATGAAAGTCTGAGTCATTTTTCCTAGATATATCACAACTTTTATTTTTGTTGAAGTTAGTCGGTGAATACTAGACTACAAAGTTAATTTGAAACTTTAATTTCTTTGAATGATCACGAACGAACTTTTTAGTGTATTATTTTAACATGGCTTGATTGTCGAAAAGTTTATTAAGGAACTTTATGTTCATAGTACAAAATCAATTCATGCTGTATCATTATGCGAAGCGGTACTGTACTGGCTTTAATATACAATTATGTAGAATAGAGAGCGTGACAATTCGAATGGCAATGTCGTAAAACTGTCCTCTATTTTCATCAAAACAATTTGGCCACCGGCCGACGCGACGCTCGCGTTGAAACGGCGGCAGACGCGACGGCACCGTTCGTCATATTTGTGACTCTTTTTACTTCCCCTAAAACTTTTACAACAAGTAAACATGTTTACTAGTCATTACCACACTATTTATTGAGATTTTCTTTTCAGAATCGATGTATCCAAGGTTTGCTGAACCAATACCAAATGTGACGGTGACTGTCGGCCGGGACGCACTGCTTGCGTGTGTCGTGGATAATCTAAGAGGATTCAAGGTATATATGTGTTAACAGAATAAGTCATTAGTAGATATTTACCATTCAAGATTACCTGTATTTTAACCACAGACGATATTTTTATCCTCATACAACAGAGCGATAGTTTAGTAACTGCACGGTTTGACGCGGTGGCTGGGCAAGGTGTCGTGGGTTCGAAGCCCGCATGGAACAACCCTTATTGTGTGATACACAAATTATTGTGTGATGTGTATGAGAAATTATATGTTTGTAAACGCACTCACGACACAGGAAATAATCCAAGTGTGGGGCAAAGTTTATCACAATGGAAAGAAATATAAGTTTAAGACCTTAATTTTCAAACAATTCCAAAACGGATGGACAAGTTGTTAATAATAAAAATGAAATTGTTTTCGACCAACTTAAGAAAAGGAAAATACTTTAACTTTTATGCATTTGTAGGTAGCATGGGTGCGTATGGACACTCAGACAATCCTGAGCATCCACCACAACATAATAACGCAGAACGCGCGCATCAGTCTGTCGTACAACGACCACCGCTCGTGGTACCTGCACATCAAGAACGTGCAGGAGGTGGACCGCGGCTGGTACATGTGCCAAGTCAACACTGATCCCATGCGCTCCAGGAAGGGGTACCTTCAGGTGGTTGGTGAGTATATTACCGCCTTATGTTTGTTGTACCATGATCTGAACATCACGAGTATGCAGGTCGTGGACCGCGGGTAGTACTTATGCCAGTTCAACACCAATCGTATGCGCTCCAGGAAGGAATACCTTTAGGTGGTTGGTACTTATACTACCTCCTTCAGGCTATTGTACAAGCTCTTGACATCTGCTTGAAGTGCTAGCACATCAAGAACGTGCAGGACTGCTTATAAAATATTGCAAAATAGCCAAGTAGCGGTGAAGAAACTCCATGAATTTTACATGATGGATTATGGGTCGTATCCCAAGAGGCTAGAATCTACAGACTATGTAAAAGGGCTGATTGCGTAGCAAGATATTACCTCTATCAATTTCGGTGCAAAGCATCCGGACACTGAGTTTATAAAAATATTTGAGCGCCTATGTTTAAAGAAATAGCAAACACAATGCCATGGACAAATTAATTTCGTAATTTGTCCATGGCATTGTGTGCTGTAATATTGATGATACAAGTGCGACTTTTAATTGCTAATAGACACGTTGATCAAGTTTAAAATAAAACTTGTATCATAATCTCTTTTTCAATATTTCCAAACGATTGAAAATTAACGATGGCATGCGTTATACAGGATGATAACTAGCACCGTCCTTAGGTAAGCATCGGTTAAGACACTTAATATACTTAGAATTTATTTGTTTACGCAGTGCCACCATCAATCATCGATAATATGACGTCAACGGATATGGTGGTTCGGGAAGGCTCTGACGTCACCTTGGTGTGTCGGGCTTCAGGGTACCCTGAACCTTATGTCATGTGGAGGCGAGAAGACGGACAAGACTTTAATTATAATGGAGAATCAGGTTAGATAGAAATTAGGATTTATTTCTATTTTTTTTTCCGTACCGTTCTTGCAATGCATTGCAATCTTCGGTTGGGACATGGATAAATAATATTTTCTTTTAAGTTACGTGTTTCTGCAATTCCTTTAGGCAAGGTCTAATATAACTCTAAATATAAACTTTCAAACATGTGTAGTTTGTGTTTTAAAATACAAACACAACCTTATCATAACTCGTGAACTCATTTCGAAGTTCTAATTCAATGTTCTTGTGCAGCTAGTTTAGCCTTTCAAGCTTTGTGGGATCGTCTCCGTTGCCCAACGTTACACACGGAATTTCACTTTAACTTGAATTGAACTAAATGTACTAGATGTATCCACGTACCGAGTTCGCATATTTGAGGTTTTGTGTTGTTAACAAGAATGTTAATAACAACGCTACAAGAAAATATAGCAGCCTCAAATTAAGATTAAATTACCTTCAATTACCCCAAAACTTCCACAATATATGGAACAAAACTTTTCAAACTGTCATTTGAAAGACATTACAATGTTGAACATTTTAATTGTGCTAGAATCCATTGTTAATTTCCCTGTAGACTGTTGTTCGATAAAAATCATTTTCTGTCTTAATTGAATTTTTTGTTGTATGAAAAACAATCTCGAGTTTTTCTTTCAAACATTCCGAAAAACACGAAGCCTTTTCTCAGAGGCTGTGGTTGAAAGCACTTAATGTAAAATGGACTGTCCGTTTTGAAAGTAAATTGAAAAATGAATTTCGCAATAATAGTGCTTGCTTTGAATATTATGATCCCTTTACATATTAATGTCTCGAACAGGACATAAATTTCGCATAGTCTTAGTATTTGAGTCATTGAATCGTGATACATTTATATTGAAGCTAATATCCTTAACGTTCATTTTTGTTCGCAGTTAGCGTAGTGGATGGAGAGACGTTGACAATAACAAAGGTTTCTCGGTTACACATGGGTGCTTACCTGTGCATAGCATCTAATGGGGTGCCACCTTCGATTAGTAAACGGATCATGCTTATGGTTCAGTGTGAGTATTCGGTATTCCCTGTTCTCAATACACACACAAGTGACAGCACTTGTAATTGTAGTTGACGCTCTGTGGTACTGAGCAGGTATGCGTGGCTGTCAATTTACTGAGAATTAGTTATCATAATCTAGGAGATTATGTAGTACAGGCAATTTACTAAGCAATTAAGTGTGTTAGGTGTAATAATTGTTCATTTTGGATCTGTGTATAGCCTATAGAGCCAACTTATTTTTTGTTGGCTGTTTCGCGATTTAGTTGTTGGTCCACGTTCAGTTTCTTGAATATTGTAATACAAGCTTCTGAAAGTGACTTTGCCTGCCGTTTTTTCACACTATAATAAATTTCTTTGGCAAATTTTATTTAGATTCGTTCAGTAGTTTTGCGTTTAATACATAGGTAGGTATATACGTGTATAACATCAAATCCTTTATTGATCCATACTGACAAACTTTTACGTATAAAATACATATTTATATAATACACATATGTACAAACACGGATATTTTGTTGATTTCCGTGTTAAACGTGTTATATGATTGTGTTGTTTGAAAATAAACAATATATAATATTATGTGCACTTTCCAATAAACAAGACGAGATTTAAGTTGGATTTTATTTAAATAAATTACTTACTACTTTTCAAAGTTCAGCTAATTGTATTAGCTATGTACATATCAGAAAGCTTTCGAACAATTCAAATTGTAATTGACAATAATTTGGACCATTTAATAGAAGTCAAAGACAAAAGTAGGTTAGCACTATCCAAAGTTAAAGGAGATATTTCTGAACTGAAACTTGTTAATTAACTTGATGGAAGAGAAATTATTACAAATTATTGAAGACTTGGCCATAGTTTGAAGGTTATTATCATAATTAATATTATAATTGGAGTATAATAATGCTTTATTATAATGTCATACGAATTCTTACGATCTGAAAATTGAGAGACCTAAAATAGAATGTTGGAAAATATAGCTTTTCAGTGTTGTTATTATGGATTTAGTGACTGAATTTAATAGTTTTGCTTAACTGCTAATAATGAGTTTAAAGATTTCGGATCGATAAATGTGTTGATGTATAAAGTTAGGTTTTATTTTTTTAGCTTTAATGATCTTGGTAATAAATAATTTCAGTGTGTACGATTGTAATCAAAATTTAGTCAATGTGAGACAAAAATCACCTAAATTAGTTTAAACAATAAGATTTTAAAAAATATTCGCGAACTGTAAGTACCACGGAATAGAAAATACAGCGGAAGTGCCGCTCAGACATCGCGACACTGGTTTTCCTTTTGAAACAGTGTAGGGGCACTTCTACCTAATTTTCTGTTCTGTGGTTAACGCCCTTATTGCCTTCCCATCTGTTTAAAATTCGCATCAATGTTGACAATTATAAACCCAAAATCTAAAAGAAGAATTATATAATAAATATAAATTATTGCCTTGAAGCCTAAACCCGAAAATAAAACAAAAAACAATTTACAAAATGAAATTTGGTAAAATCTGTGTACCTACGTGAATGTCCTAATAAGTGAATCTAGGGTTGATTCACACCTGCAAACTAACGACGTAAATTGACAGGCGAACGAGTCTAGTGCTGTAGACACAATGGTTTGTCATCCTTGTTTTATTAGAACTGTAATAGCTTGGGTGTATCTACTCGTGTTTATTGATTTCCCACTTCAAATTACTTCGCCTCTTCGACACTCTATCATTAGAGACCCGAATAAATCAGATTTACAAATGTTATATACACACACTTTAAGTAAACCGGCCTTAATTAAATATGCTCGTGTTTTAATATTTTATATCTACGATTTGAGGAAATGGGTCAAAATTAAGTACGTGATATGTTTTTAAAGGGTAATTCTAAAATGATTCGGTTATGTTGACGATGTCAATTGAAGCGTACCTGCTCTATTATTAAACTACTGTATAAGCGGTTACAGTGTTTTCGAACTGGTTATAAGTATAATTTGAAACTTGGATTTGTTTTTTCAGTTTCTATTTTTGAATGTGTTGTCAAGTGGTAACTATTTACTATGTTTAAGTTTTTTCCATCGAATAGAGTAAGATGACGATGGTTGCTTTATAGGCCTAGGTAGTAGTCAATTTTACGAGACCTCAGCTCCTCTGATGCTCACATTTTTATATTTTCTATCATTCATCTCTTGTGAACATTAAATATACAAGTTACTAGAAGGCATTTAATAACTGTTCTATATTTAGAAATTAATGTGATTTTTAATGTTAACGAACCTGACTTTAATACAGTTCCACCAATGCTGGCGATACCAAATCAGCTGGAAGGTGCATATATAGGACAGGACGTGACGCTGGAGTGCCACACAGAGGCGTATCCCTCCTCCATTAACTACTGGACCACTGACCGCGGAGATATGATTATTTCCGGTGAGCCCTGTACTCTATGAATGCACACACACATACATGCATACACACTTACGAGTACATGCATTTATCTACACATTTTTACATCAATAAAATTTTTCACGTTTAGTTTAATTTCATAAATGTGGTTTTTTGGAACATACCTTGATTCAGTATGTTAATGTTTGATTCAGGGCCTGTTTTATAAAGTACGAATAACTATTGTGTATCAGATTAATTTGAATTTAGAACATAATTTTTCTTTAAACAGTTTGTGCCGCAAAAAGTATAAAAAAAATAGGAATTAAAATCACATAATCAACTTGAATGTAGCCAATATTGCTTTTTATTCATTCTTTTTTTAAATTACAATGCTTTATAACCTGATTGCTCAAATATGTAACAGTTCTAAATTATGGTTTGATATTTACTAACTACAGTTTTAAACAACTTTCAATATCCTTATTTAAACAAAACCAATGAACCACAGTCGCTAACTTCCAACCAATAAACGCCATATTATCGGAACTGGGAACAAAACACAAATACGTACATTTATCATATTGGCATAAATAACATGCGTTCCCGTCAAGTAAGCCATCGTTCGATTGTATCATTGATTTATGACTTCATAATGAAAATAGTTTCCCTTGTATCGGAACCGGCGAACGAGGTGTACCTAGTCGAATACGTTCCGAATGTACTTATTCATGCGCGAATAGAGAATACTTGTATAATGAAATAGTTCACTATTTCCACTTCAGCTCAACTGCGCGATTGATAAATAAGTCGAATAACAACTTTGAATCAAAAACTGTTCGCAATTTTCTTTACGTTGCCGGTATCTCATACCTAAACTGATTCTGCAGTAGCAACCGGTATTTTTGCATGGAACTGAGCATTTGTATTGACTCTGCAGTGGTTATTCGTCGAATATCAACTTTCTAGCATGAACGTTCTAGTTTTCAAGTAGAGCAACTTATTAAATAGGTTATTGGAGTTGATATCTTTGGAACTATTTTATGAGCAATTTATTGAGAAAGCACAAATTTTTTCAACAGAAATTTCTCGAACATTTTATATTTAAATCCAAAATACAAAGGAAAAGATATTGATTCATTGCTTACTAGTTACGTAATGATGCATACAGGTTTTATATTTAAGTAGAAATGGAAATTATAGGAGGCAAGTACGAAGCATTCCCGATGGACAGTGGTTACAACAAGTTCATGATGCTGAAGATCAAGAACATCACCAAGGAAGATTTTGGCTTCTACAAGTGTATCGCGAAGAACTCGTTGGGAGAAACAGACGGGATCATCAAACTTGATGGTAATTTTTAAACATTAGTAGATTGATTTAAAACGGCTTCCGTTAGAGAAAAAGATTGAAAGCGCTGAAACACTCGTAAAAACAAAGAGCCTTTTTACGATCTCGGGGAATTCGGAAGTGTGCGAAAATCACACAAAACTGCCTGTCAATTATCGGTAAAGCTTTTTTGGGCAACCTTCAGAAAAACACTTGCACATTGTATTGAGTCTTCTTAGAAAAAAATGATTGATATTTGCTTTTTGATTCGGGGCCTTTTGGGGGATCGTTGCTTCAATAACTTTCTGGAAAGGTAAAGAGGCATGTTTTGATAATTAAAATTGATATTACTTTACGAGCAATTTATTCAAACTCAATACACCGTTTACAAGAATCAATTTGTTACAGAGATACCGGCTCCACCGTCGGCCTTCACGACTACACAGAAAACAGTGTTAGACAATCAAACAATTAGAAAGAAAGGTGATTTTCTGTCAAATTATTAGTCATTAGTTTTCAATCGATGCTAAACTGTTTATTAATATTCATGTTTTAACAGGTTTGCCGCAAATCAGCGAAAGTAGTGACGCAGTTAGCTCCAACTTTCAAGGTGAAATGTACGGCGAACCGCTAAGTGATTTCGGTAAATATTTTAACGATATTAATGGCTCTATAGTAGTTTTATCATTTGTGTGTGGCAGCCCCATAAGTGTCATATAGAAGACGAATGTCTATGTAATTCAAAGCGATTGATAACACACTAGAGAAATATGGCAATTAATTTAAAATTCGTCATAAATAAACTTTTATACAACCGTTAAAATTGAACAAATGATTTTCTTTTCCAGGTGATGGCTTAGAAAACTCAGCGAGTTTCCGCCAAGTAAATGCCGTGTTAGGTTTCACTTTAATTTGTCAAGTGATAATCATAGCGAGGTATATTTTATTTTCTTGATATTTGTAATATCGTGGTGATAAATTAATTTATTTTTGTTGCTAGTTTTAATTTTTGTTAATGTTTTCTTAAGCTGACCAGACAATAAATTGTTCACATAGTTGAATACATAATTTAAGTTAATTCTCATACAGGATTAAGTGATTTGCCAAGCGGCATTATTGGGATGCTCATTTTATTTTAATTAAAACGCATCTTATTCTAAGTACCTACACTCAATTCACAGTAACTTTTGAATGGAAAGGTTATATATCAATATGTGTATTTGGAAAAGTACGAAGTGTCAATTTAAAGAATTTCAATTCGGTAAAGTGTCGACTAAATAATATTATTATTTTTACACGTACATATCGTACTATAGGTACGTCACTGTATCTGTCTAGTGTTCTGATATCATCCTTTTACATTACTATTAATATATTAAAATATTATTTAGTCGTTACCTTACTGAATCGATTCAGATGGAAGTTATTTTATCAAAGTCAATCTTTAAGTAATGTAACGTTCCTAAGTTCGCTTAGTTGTTACGAAAAATTTGTACACAACTTTTCTACTACATCGATTTTATAAGAATGCGCCTAGAACTAGACTTTTTAGAGATAAACCTATAACTGTCCAATTGAAAACTTGTAAGTAGGTGGTATGTTATTTCCGATAAACGATTTAGTCGATGTATACACTAACGAATTATTAATACGTAACCTACTGTGCTTTGGTAGTTATTAACTGGTCGATTTTCTTTACCTTTCATAACGTAAGGCTTTTGATATTATTTTTACTGTAAAACTTGTATAGATTATTTGCCGTATGTAAAATACAACTAGAGACGATAGGGAAATAGGGAGTTTTTGTGATGATTTACATAATGCTACAAAATGAAAACTGCCAAATAAATGTGTAAAATATGGAAATAAAACGAAGCTTATAACCTTGTTTTCATTATAATTTCCCCCAATATCCGAAAGTATCATAACAATCTGACGTTGTTGTACAATGAAACAAGTTCAAAACTTCTGCATCTGTCTGACTATATGATCGAGCAAGTGAAAACTATGAAAATTCGAGGAAGGCTCCCGAGTAATAATTCAACGCGTCCGATGCCTTTGAATGGCGTGGCGGGCCGCTGCATACCTATAAATAGTAAAGTTTGTTTGTTTGTCAGAGACTCACAGACGGTGGAATTCCCATGACAAAAAATCAAACCACGTTCCCTTTCATGGAGTGTACAACATCCAACATGAATAAGGCTGGTTTTTGTAAATTGAAAAGGCGTATCGATACATGATTCACTGGGCGGCGTTTTGCATAAAAAAGAGAGGATTAAAAATAACCATTTATATGACGTAATAATTCCTGCAATGACCTAAATTCGAGTCAACGTTCTAATTAAATAGTTAAAAGACAGAAGTAGGTGAGTTGTAAGTAGTTCCTATGAATGAGGTTCACCACAACTTAGGCAAATATCATTCTAGAGATCTCAAAAGTGACAAGTGGTTCAGTCCTCGAGTACTGAGGCGACCCGCCACAGCTCCTAGAAACTTGTGATATATTAAAATGTGTACTTGGAAATACACACGGAGAGCAGTTTCTTTGAGACATTGACTGAGTAAATTAATTATATAAAGAATTTAAGACAAGACGAAGGAAACATAATTTCTACTAATTAAACTTCTGTTTTCGTTTCCAGAAATTTTGTAAAATCTTCTAAAGTTAAAATCAACGAAAGTGTCAAAGTGAAAGAGCGTAAATTAATTTAATATGATATAAATAAATGTAAGCTATCGATTTCACGAATTATTATCACGAGACATATTTTCAACAAAAGCGTCACAAGGAATTATGTAAAATAAAAAGATTGTACCGTTTCTTCAATCTGTCTCGGCTACTTTTAAAAGAGAAGCCTTACATTTTTATTTTCCTTTTTATTTTCAAACGCCTTTTTACATTTGTACTGCGAGTTCGCTATATGGCCTGGGAACGAATAGCTATTACTATTAATATGTAAAGTGTTACAATCTGGTACACTGCCCCCTACAGTCCGGAACAATCGATACCTTACTTAGTAATTTACTGCATTCGAGTTTCCACTCGTGAATTTCCAATCGAATTGGACAATAACGTGCATCTCGAAAGTGTTGTGCGATTGTTGGCAATTTTCTCCAGTTCCTTTGATTTCGTACAAAGGATAGAGTCGACCAGTCTTTTAAAATGAGAGTTAGTATTATATTGTCAGAAATAAAAGTTTTGTACGTGGCTACAGTAACGTTTGCACGTCATTATTACACTAACACACGTCGCATAGTACATTCGTTAACAATAGGAAGTACTTAAGTACTAATATTTACTTTCCAAGTCTATTAAAGATTTATGATTATTTGTTTGGGCGCGATTTCCGAATTTAACTATTATTTATGTGGTGGATGCTCCATTTATAGAGAAAGTCTAGGAGCCGAGTAGTAGATGGAATCGCGTGGGAGTAGGTAATGTATGTATCTGTATGATTTTATTATATTTCTTCTAAAAATTAGGAAATCTCAAAATCAACTTAAATCAAATATGGTCAATACATAATCAAGCCACTACCAGCCACTTCTAACCACTTTGAGCCTTATCAAAATTACATAATCAGTGAAATTTCCTAATAAATAAATAATGAGTTAGTATCAAAGCTAATTTGTATATTACACAAAGCTCGGATCAGGGAATAGGATTAGTACTCAAACCATGTTGATCGAAGATTCCGTATATTCCCATAGGAATACGCAATATACATCGTATCTGCTTGTATTTCGCAGAATCCCATAATTATGTTTTGGCTAATTGATTTATATGTTTATAGGTAAATGTTACCACGTGTATATAACTTTAGATTAAACTAATTATCGTCATTATCATCATTAGTCTATAAGTGCTTACTGCTGAGCAAAAGCCTCTTCTCACACGGAGAAAATCAAAGACTAAAATATTAGTCCGCATGGACCCGTGATTCGTGCCCTTGTCATGTCATTTCCATTAAATATTTACAAATACCAATTTTACATACGTATATACTACAACTAACTACAAGTATACTAACTACAAGAATATAACTTATTATCGAAAGCTCGATTGAGACAGCCCACCAACACGCTGTGTGAACCGACCTTAAAAATGGAGATTAATCGCTACGCCTGCTACTCTGCTACTGCTGCTCTCCTCTGCGCGAATGATCCTCCTCTGACGATTTCCTTCACCGTATGCCAGTGCAGTCTAAGTAAACTTAAGTCCAGTTATTACAAAACAAAATGTATCATTTGTCTGGGTTTAAACCATTGTGTCAGGTTATGAATTCGAAATATAAAACGAAGACTAAACTTTAGTTCAGCTGGGGTTGCGGGGTAAGCGCAATAAGGCACCGCGACCTCGGCCCAGAGCAGGAGAAGGAACAGGGGGGTTTTTAGTCAGTAAGTGTCTGACACTACCCCCCATTCGGCCCTAGACGGGAGAAGTCATTTGATGATTATCCCCTCACAAAAAAAACCCTTATTGTTTTCATCTTTAAAAATTGCGTCTTAATACATACCACACACCATTTTCTTTTTTTGCTCCAAGGTGGAAAATCGTTATGAAGCCTCTTCGCGTAGGGAGACGAAGGGGTCTGACTCTTACTGACTAAAGACCAACCTTGGGTGTGTGAATCAAATTTGTCCACAGTTATAAAGACTATATAATTTGAATTCCTTTGCATTATTATTAGAGCTTCTTATGCTTACTTCTTAACAGAATTCTTGTAGCCAATAGGTTGATTGATGAGGCCTTTTTCAAAACAACCTTATTCTGTGACTCATAGAAATAATGTCACATACACATGACACCCAGACCCGAAACAACAATTTGTGGATCATACAAGGTGTTGTTCCGTGCGGGAATCGAAGCCGCGTCACGTGGCACGGCAGCCAGTTGCCCAGCCACCGCGCCAACCGTGCAGTCAAAAGTAGTTTTCTTCTCTTGAAAACTCTCTCTATTCTAGACTTCATCTAGTTTTTCACATATAAATTGACGTGTAAAAGTGCCGTTTTATGGCCTATTTGCAAAAATAAAATAATGGTTTCATAAGCACGATAACATAGTCCTTACTTATTATCTAGGGTAATAAAACATACCTATAAACGAGCAAAATAAAACAATTAATGTTTATCTATTACCTTAGTTGAAAACATTCAATAATTCATTCAGTAGAAAATAGTTATTGACGTATACAACGACCATTTTATTGGCGATTTAGCTTATATAGATGTCAGATTTGAGTTATTACATAAATATAAAACATTTTATTTATCAGTGAAAGTGCGTCGGAGCTCGTTATTTTCAGTACAGACTTGGTATTAAAATTTGTATATACCGTATTATGTAAATCTGTATATGAAATCGATTGAAAAAGAGTAACCTTGGAGTTTCTTGCTCGTTTTTCTCCATCGGAATCTATACTTTAGATCGGGCAAATCTTAAAACTTGTTTGACGTTTAAAACTGCATGTAGCCTGTGCCTAATTGAACAAATTTTTAAAATGGATAATTTACTTATATTGAATTTCTACTCTTTAATAACAGCTTATAATAACCGCTTTTGTCAAGATATCCTAATACATTTTGAGAAAACTGTCATATATAAATAACCTTAAAAATAACCTGGAAAGTTAAAATTGAACGATTTTTTATCAATGCAAGTAAACAATGGAGTTTAATTATCTAGCGAAGTCTAAATAATCATTTCAAAGTTTTATTACCCTATTGTCTTGGCACAACTACCTACAAAAGATAGTGGGCGTTCAGAAATGGCAGTGCAAACTAATATTGCAGTGTTAGAAATTTGTTCAGTGCGAATAGTGCAGTGAATAAACGCTCTTATACTATTCATATCTTTATTATTTATTTATCAATCGCAATAAAAATAATTAATATTCTTTCATGCATATAAATAGAGTGTATTTTAATGTATATTCAATTATAACTGGGAACAGTGATTGAAAGTTTGAGTCCTTAGTCAGTTAATAACTACTAACCGAAAAAAATGTTTACGGACGATAACTACGTGTTCGGTGATCAAAATGTGCAAGTACCAGCCCATTTGAATTTCGGCAAGTTCATTTTAGACCGTCTTCGTCTCCAAAAAAATGAAGTTGCTTTGGTAAGTAACATTTTTCCAATCCTTAAGTTCAGAAGTCCAGCTTTAAATTAGATATCAAACGTATACTCCAATATATTGTAGTAACAATTCTATCTTAAACGTCCAGGAACTCGGAGATACACGTGAGAAACTCACATACAAGGAATTCACACAATATGCCGTCAATATGTCCACCGCTTTGACAAAGCTGGGGGTTGGGCGGGGCGACATTGTTGCAGTCGGATCCGAAAAACGCAATGAATTCGTTCCGACGGTCCTTGCAATCGTGTTCACCGGGGCGACGTACACCCCCTATGATTTAAAGAGCGGGAGAGGTGAGACAAAATATCTTACTTCCACCACATTCTTTAAACGCCTCATATATTTTATAGCGATTCTAGTTTGAAAAAATAGAGGGTTTGTTGATATATTACTTTAAGAGCTGTGCACGAGATAAGCTTTTAGTCTTCGAGTTCATATTTTAAGGTTTTCATAGCTTATGAGTAATCCGAGTAAAAATTCATGAACCGTCCGCTTTTCACCGTTAATTAATATAGTTAATCAGCTTATTCGTATATTAATGGACCTTTAAGCAGATTAATTTGTATTTTACTTTAATTTCAGCGGTATTAAAACACAAGATAGGTTTGACGAAACCGAAATACTTTATATGTTCGAAATTGTTTTGGAATACGTACAGTGACATATTGAGGAGTTTTGATTGCATAGAGAAGTTTGTAACACTAGATGAAGGCACGGAGTCAGTAATTTCTATCAGAACTTTGATCACGAATGATGCTGACGTAAGTAAGTTTGAGCCAGTGCAAGTTCAGGGACAGAGTGACATCGCCTTCATTTTGTATTCGTCGGGCACCACAGGCATGCCAAAAGGCGTACAACTGACACATTTAAATTGCATCCTCAATAGTCTGCCTGATGAGTGAGTACCAACAATGTTAATTAACTTTTCTTGCTTTTCTTTTTTATACTTTGATTTGGACATTTTTCTTACATTTCATTTTTAGATAAAAACCCCTTGATTATTTTAGCTATCCGAAATATTTTAAAGTTATTATATGATTAGTGTAAATATAATTGATGTTTTTAATGTACTTAACGAAAATATTTGCTCTAATTTTTTCAGTTCAGAAGAAGTAATTTGGAATAAAAAATTGGGACAAAATATTAAAAAAGTACTTAATTAAATACTATTTTACAAACAAAAAATATTTCTTCAACAAAATTCTTCAGTTAGAAACAAGTATCCTATAAAAATATATGACTCATAGCAATTATATGATTTACGAGATATTTCCAATAAATATTTGCCCTATATAATTGGTTGCCATATTAATCTAACGAGTAAATATCGTTTCAGCTTCACTGACGAATCTCTGAAGACTGCTTTCCTTTTTGGAGAATGGTATCATAACTATGACACGTTTATGACATACAAATTTTTATGTTTGGGAAGGAAAATTGTGTACGTCAACGAAGCTGAGCCTATTAGCTTCATAAAAAGTGTTCATGACTGTGATGTGAGTAGAATAAAAAAACTTTTTGCCCGCTTTAGATAAGAGCCAATAGACCACTACAGATGGAGCCCAATGGCGCTGATGCTCAGCCAGGGTTGCGGGTCAATTATGTACCGCGGCCCGGCCTCCAGCAGGAAAAGGAGCCGGATAGTATTTAGTCAATAAGAATCAGACTCTCTGGCCCCACCCAGAAGGAAATAATAAATTTGATTATCCTCCTTCAAAAAATTGCCAGTTTAAAATATGTTTTACCCTTTAATCAGCTCCCAAAATAGCCGCGTGAAGAAAACGAGTGATAAGCAAATGATTCTAAAATAATTTAGCTCCATATTATCCATTGATTTAGTTGTTAGTTTAGTCTTTTAAAATTATAGAAAATACCGGCGAAAAACTGAACATTACTCATCATATAAGTCCAGTTATATATTTATCAAATAACATAGATAACATATACATGTATCACAGTACATATATGAGGGATACTACAACAATAAAAAATAGGTAGGTAGCTATCTATTTCAGTATTTATAGACGAGTATCTATAATATATTTTTCAAAGGAACACGAGAAACTGTTTTCTTGTACAAATAGTTCTTAGAATTTTACTACTATTATAACTACTCTATAGATGATTTTATTGTAGTGTTATTCTAGGCAATTACGGTTTAATAAGGTGTTTCCAAAGAATTTTGAAATTAAATTCTTGACACATTTACTTAAGAAATTTTTGGATAAAAGAAGCGCGTTTTAAATTAGTTACAAATGTAGACTAGAAGAAAGTATTTATACACATAGTATTTAGTCCTTCAATGTACGTTTTGTGTATAAAGCAATTAAAATAATACGAGAAAATCATAGATTACTTCGACACAAGCACTCTTCATACCGTCTTCCCACGGGAGTGAAGAGAACCTACGAAGCGGTCATACAGTACAATATTTACACACCTCGGTAGCTTCTTCCACATTCATGAATCTTTTCATAAAATGCGCGCCGCCATTGAATGCTACGCACCTGACCTTTTGAAGGGCACCGTTATAAATGATGAACTGAAATGACAAACCGACCTCAAAACAAGAAAGGAGTTTTAACAAAATATTTTGATTGTGTGGGCGATTTTGTAAGTGGGTTTCCGATGGGCATCTTTCATTGTATTTCTGATTGATGACACATCCAATCTTTTTTAGTAAGTGAAGCTATTTGTAATGCTCGAACGACCGCCTAATTTCAAAATGTATCTACTTAAATAATACTTAAATACCTAAAATAATACGATATAAAAAAAAACGTGATGGCCCGAAGATTAAGGCAACCGCTACTCATGCATGAGGGTGCGGGTTCTAAACCTAGCAAGTACCAATGTGACTTTTTCCGAGTCATATGTACTTTCTATGATTATTATGGACAACACTGACATACGGTGAAGAAAAACATCGTGAGAAAACCTGGACTTATAATTTCTAATTATAAGTTTGAAATCGCCAATCTGCCTTGAGCAAGCGTGGTGATTAATGTTCAAACCTTCTCCGTGTGGGAAGAGGCCTTTGCTCACCAGTGGGCACTTATAGGCTGATGATGACCTAATATACAAAACGATCATAATTCCAAAAACTGAAAACAAGCAACAAATTCATATTATTTTGTCATCATAGAAAGAAATGAACATAATTATCTAAGGAACCCAAACTAAGTAGTTTGTTAACATATAGGTCGGCTGAGGCTCCATTAACCACCTACCTATTCCATCACCAAACCAGTTAGATGGTACCATAATAATGTCCCATCTAATCCACATTTATAACTGCCAAGTATCGTTATGATACATCTGTTTGAGAAGCTTGTAATTCAGAATCTTATTTGATTTCATTCGACATAATTATAGTTCACAGGTCGACCTTACAAAAATGTGTTAATAAGACATGTCACTGCCATACGCCTTATATTCTTTAGTACAAAAGGTTTAAGATCATAATACCTGCAATATTTAACTTATATAAATGTAACCTTTATATTTTCGTATATGTCGATGAACAATGGACATAATGTGAAATTTGGTTTGTCAACACACCGACGATGTAGGAGATAATCCCAGTGTGAAGTAAAGTAAAATAAATAAATATGTACGAGTACTTATAATTGTCTAGGAAAAGATTTCTTCCGGCCTCTACTTTCTATTGATGTAACGTCCGAGATTAAATCTTTTTCTCTTTATATAATTTTGCAGGTTAACATCGCTTTTATAGTGCCTTCTTTTGTTTGCTACTTATCAAAGGCGAAGGAAGCAGAAAAATATAATCTCGATTCACTCAAAATAATATACTCTCGATCATCGCCGCTTCACAACAAGACAATACAAAAGGTCAAAAGTAGGCGAGTATCGATTTATTTTATCGTTTCATTCGTATAATCGATTTCCGTCATGGTCGAAGTTCCAGCGCCTTCCTGAAATTATATATTCGCATTTATTTCTAATTTTAAAGTTTGCAGAATTCTTGATCGCTTTCATATTTCTTTGCTATATAAGTAGCCTAATTAACTAATCGCTGTATGTAGATACGTAGTTTATCGTAAGGTATACCATGCTTTACATTATAACAATACTGTGCTCGAGTAATTTCTTATTTTTAATACGTTTCTAGGTTTCCGAAAGTTAAAAATATCCTGCAAGGGTACGGCATGACGGAGGCTGGTGAGTTAACGTCAGAGAGCTGGGGAACAAAAGGACCCAAGTCAGGTAGCGTTGGCATGGCTTCCCCTGGCATAACTTTAAAGGTATAAAAACTTTGATTTTTATGTTTTGCTACAGAAAATAAATTTTTCATTGTACTATTTTATGGCGTAGGGCGTCAAACAAACTGACGGTATACCTGGTAGTAAGCCATGCTTCGGCACGAATGGGCCTGCTCGACTGGAGTGATACCAAGGCGTCACAGAAAACCAGAGTGAAGCGCTATTTACGTTGTGTTTCGCCGTGTGAGTGAGGTTACCGGAGGCCCAATACTTCGTGCCCCCATCCGCAAATCCCCTATCCTTACATCCCTACTAACCCACAAGAGTCTGTCAACGCACTTGTAGTAACTCCTTTGGCACTACGGGGGGCGCTGATAGCTTACGATCTGGCGATCCGACAGCTCGTTTCAAAAATGTAAAAGGTGGAGGATTATGCCTCAATAAACCCGAAGAAATAAAACGCAAGCGTGGTTTCACGGCAGCTTCTCAGAGAGGCCGTTGTATTACTCGGATCGAGGTGGCCCATTTGTACCACAGCGTGACCATTTCAGCTAGCCATTAGCCATTTTAAACAATGATTATTTCACACGTATTTTGAAAATCGATTATTCCGATTAATAATAATGACCATTGTAACTAATATATTCACATACAGCCGACACAACTATCTAATTTAATTTGTATTATTTATAAAACTCGTAGGTAAATTTAATTTTTACAGAAAGAGAAAAAATACACTATAAAACTATTTACAATTGCAAAATCTGTGGTAAAATAAAGCGGTATTTTCAAATTAGTTGAAAAAAACTTCAAAGGTTTGATTAGAATCAATAATTATAATATAATATTATAATTTTAAGGAAAAATATCTTTATTCGCAGAGATTTTTATTTTTGTCCCATATTAAATTAAAATTGGTTAAGGGACTTGTCAAGGAATATTACATTAGAACCTCTCTTTCTCAGAAAGCGTAGGCAGAGAAGTATGAAACTCCCTCTTTTTATCAGTTATATTTTAAATGAAAGAAAACGAATCTGTTGTTACCGAAATATTATATATACGTCTTGTTGAAAACACCGGCCACAATTTTTTAATTAAATGAAGGAAAACGACTACAGGCTAAATCAATAGTTTCAATATCACAACTAACTTGATCAATTCGTTTATTAATCAAAGGGCCAATTTTTCAACACTATATTTTTTTTAAATGCATCTCACTAAGGATTTGACCATTTTGCTACCGTTCCTTTTAAGGACAATGACCTCGGAATTTAGCCAAAGATGTCGTACAAAAATAATTTCAGTATCACGAATAAATTGGCACACAAGACGTTATGAAGTTTCGAACTAATTAAAAGTAATGTCGTAAGTCTTCATAGCGACTTCTTTTCATATTAAGATATTCTATATCTATATACGTTCACCAGGTCGTTGATCTCGAAACCCGTAAAACTGTGGGTCCCAACCAGCGAGGTGAAATATGTTTGAGGGGACCAGTTCTCATGAAAGGTTACATCGGCGTCCCGCCATCAAATTACTTAGACGAAGACGGCTTCTTCAAAACCGGAGACTTGGGTTATTTTGATGAAGACAGGTATTTCTATATTGTAGAGAGATTGAAGGAAATCATAGTGTACGATGGTTATAAGGTAAGAATACATTATATTTATTTTTTTACTTTTAAAGATAACGTAAATACTTATATTCACGACTATGGTAGGTAAAAATGTAATAAACAATAAGTCTTGACACAAGTACACGACCTTGAGATCGTTCAAACAAAATGTGTGAATCAACACAAATTGTATACCTTCTCGTGTTTTACTTCCTTTGAAGAAGTTTCTGTATTACAAAAAGAAAGCGTAAATACGTCATCCCGGGAAAACTTAGACATCACTAGCCGGAGTCCACGGAAAAAAGATATATATAAAACTCGCCTTATTCTAGCAATAGGCTTTGCGAGGTTTTTGTAGATAATATTAGCTCGCTCTAGTACTGTCCACAAAATACGATCCACACCTTTTCATCTCGAGAAATCCTTTCTTGGTGGACTTACGTCGTATGAATAAGCCGATGTATTATCTACGCATTCCTAGATCCACGTCTTATTACGAATATATGAATTACTAACATTGTTCTGTTCTTTTATATTTTTATCATTTATTGCGTATTTTGGGATACAGTTATTTTATTGCCTTGTGTATTAAAAGAAACCAGATCCGAGAGATGATTGTTTTCTATCAATATTTTTATAACCAGCTCATAAGTGTTTTAGGTAGGTAATTGTTTTTAGATTAAATATTTGTAATGCTATAGGTTTTACGTAGGTAGGTATGGTAATTCAATAACGTACTAATCAACTTTTCACTAGAAAATTTGCTATGCCGTATTAAGTGCAGAATTAATAAGGACAAATGCCTTTTTCTACGAAGAACTTATCATATTATCTATAACATGACATAAGGATGTTTTTCGTTTGTAGCAATATTCTATTTTGTTTTTTTAATACTTTTACTTACAGGTAGCTCCATTAGAACTGGAAACCATTCTACAATTACACCCAGGAGTTCGTGAAGCTGGTGTAGTTGGTAAACCAGTGAAGGTGTATGGAGAGGAACCGACTGCTTTTGTTGTTAAACAACCGGGTGTCAATGTTACTGAGAAGGAGCTCTTAGACTATGTAGCTGAGGAGGTGCGGTATAAATAAATTATACGAAAAAATCTTTGTTCACATAACGAGCAGTAACCTCCTTATACCTACTAGTACTATGACAATGAAAAAACAGCTTCTGCTATTACACATTAAATACATTACATATTATATAACGCTATTCACGATAGAGAGGTTTTCTTTTCCCGAAACATGTGTAACTTTTTCAATGGGAGTCTAGTGAAAATGTCTCAAGTCCTGCTAAGATAAGTTTGTGAGATAGTAATTGTGTAAACCGTTATGAAAACTAGATCCTTTGTTGACAATAATAAGAAAATGTAAAATTAAATTAAGCCAAAGATCTGATAATACCGTAATTCGTGGAACGGTGCCAGAATTTCGAATCAAAACCTTCTTGTTCCAAATTTTATCGAAACGTCCTCCGATTTGCATAAAACAACTATTTGTATTTGTTTGCCTATCTGTGTAACAACGTAACTAACATTAAGACACAGATTACTTCAAAACAGAAGAAAAAACGTAATGGTGAAATCCTCTTATAAAATTAACTAACCACTCTAACAAAGTACAATTAACATTAGTACAAATTAAGTAAATGAAAATGCTCATTGACTCAATCAAGTCGTTTAATTTTTCAGGTGCCACCGTTTATGCAATTAAGAGGAGGTGTAAGGTTCATTGAAGAAATGCCGAGAAATCCCAGGGGCAAGATTATACGCCAACGGTTGAGGGAAATGCTGAAATGAATTGCTAACATTTATAACGTATGTGTGTAATGAACTAAATAAAGAAAATTAACTACAAGTGGACGTTTCAATTTACTAAGTAAAGCTATTCGAGCTATTTCATATCAAACAACTTGTATCACAAATAAATATTGTGTACGACGACCTATTTGCATTTCCAAGATCTCATACAATTCTGATTCTAGTCAAATATTATGTAGAATACGTAAAAGCAAAGACTATTTGCTAAACTAAACAAGAGAACCAAGATTCGCCTTTCGTCCCTACTTACGTGTGTACCTATGTCGTGTTTTGAAGGATCGTAGGTACGAGCGATAACCTGCAGTTATTTCTCCATCTCACATTGTTCAGAAGTTATCAACACAGAACCATCATTAATTAAGTTTAACTACCCCGAGTGCTGACAAAGCGCAGGCAAGCGCCGCTACTCAAGGAACTAAGGAAGTACAGCTCTCGTATTGTTTTTGACCTTTTTCTTTTCTTCGAATAGACGTCTACGTCGGCCTCGTGAGTCATTATTATATCATCAAGCTACTATTGAGAGTCGAAACAAAAAACATCGCGCAAACGGAGCTCGGCTGAAAGCTTTGTGCTGCGTAATATAATTCTACTTCGTATTCTTGTCTTATCTTCGGGGACGTCTTTATTAATTCAGTATGATTTGGATTATCATAATTTCTTACCTTTTGCCTAAAATTACTTTGTAATAGGACAAACACTTGGTATAAATAGCGTTTTGTATTTCCAAATTAAACTTTACATTTATCGTGTGGTATTGATAATATTTGACAGTCTATTAGGAGTTAAATTTTACTGAAATTATATTAAGTACATAAAAGTTGAAGAATACCTGCAGATTTTTTATCTTCTAATATAATTTCGTCCTAAGAAATGTATTACAATTTAAGTCCGTATGCTAATGAAGAACGTTCCTGTGGTGTCATTTGCATTGACATTTTTTAAAATGAAACTCTTTTACCATTTAAATTGACTGGTTTTACCTCGGAGCAATTTAGTCCGCCCTAGCCTCTTCCCGAGAATGGTCCCTGCGGCCTGTAATAGGTTTCTTAAAAGAAAATCGAGTTAAACAGGCGTGATTGACTTAATTGTGGAAAAGCTTTATTTCCCGAGATTAAAGAAGTATTTCAGAGGGAACTAACTAGATTACATTTGGAAAATCTCGGCTACAGTTGATGTCGACGTGTTAAATTTATTTTTCTACATCCAATTTTATTTCTGAAAAGAAAATACGTCTAGAAATTTTATTCTCGTAAGTGAAGAAAGTTTAACAAATTGCCTGAAAGGAGCAAAGTAGGAAAGTAAATAAAGATTAAAAACAAAGAGATGAACATCTATCAAAGTGTTTATTTAAAAGGCGATATATTCTACAAATCCAGTGATATTTTTGCACGCCGCCGAATTTATGCTTGCTGAGCGTAAAATAGACGAGGAACTCTTCATTAATGTTTGCCACTTCGAAAATTGAATCGTTTAATCGCAGCGGGCGGAGTGAGAGGGAACGCATTGGCTGGGTGAGCGTAATTGCGTCAGAGTACCTTTGATACTGAGTGGAAATAGAGCAATTAAGTCCCTCGAGTTGGAGAGTTTACCTTGATTTTTTTATTACTCTCCCTTTTGTGTGCACATGGTTTAGAAATTAGTATGCGTTTAGAAACTCAATACAATAATACACAACAAAACAACAAGACATTAACAGGGCAATCGGCAGGGAACAATTCTTTGTGTGAGTCACAAATTGTTGTTTCGAGTCTGGGTACCTATCTTGAAGTTGTAATTTTGTAAACGCAGCTACGACGTAAAAGAAAATTATTTAATAGGCATCTTATGTAAGTAAAATTTTATGTTTGTCACGACCAAAAAAAAGTCTAGAAGGATACATTAAAAAAAAATAGAACCCTATTCCTACATAAAATACAATTCGAAAATTATACTATTGAAACAAAAAACATACATAGATACTGTTTTATTAAACGCTCTTTATACACGACAAAGTTGAACGATAAACAAGACAAAGCCGAGCTTGATAATGCAGCCTCCAGGGTACGCAATTTATTGAAAAGAGGCGTACGTGTATTCAAAGCGTATGTTCAGTACCAGCTGATAGAATAATATGTATGTATAATGTACTACATTACAATAGAATTACTTTAAAGTCATAGTTAAGACTAGAAAAGATGAAGTACACACTTTATCTACGAACTGAGAGTCGAGTTGTTGTAGCAAACTAGGAAATGTATGAAAAATTCATGAATGTACAGGAGTTTAAATAGAAATCTGCGAACTTAATGAAAGCATGTTTACGTTTGCTTCTGTTAGTAGAGATATAATATGTAGAATTTAGTTTTTGTAAGTAGATATTTTTAAATTGCAAACATTCTAACGTTTTTCCTTTGAGTTTCCAGTAAGTATATAGGTATATGTATAAAAAAGCCCGGCAACGCCCTTGAAACTCCACTAGTATTGTGGATATACTAGGCTTCTCTCGGGTTGTCCTTCTACTCGATTACTGACCTATCCTATAAAGAAAAACCAACGAGTGCACATTCACTTTGCACCTGTTTTTTTTTTAAGGGAATAAAATCTTCAAATTACTTCTCCCACTCAGGATGGGGTGAGTATAAGACATTTACTAAATAAAAACACCCCATTCCTTTACATTATTGCGCTTGTACTCGCAACCCCGGCTGAACATTGGCCATATTTGGCCCCGTCTGTGGTGGTCTAATGGCCCTTTGAGTCGAGCACGGAATAAGACGCGCCGTATGCTTGCGTCTGGTTCTGGTCGGGCAGAGACCAAATTTTTTTCCAGTTATTAGTATATATTTTTATATAGTTAGTATATATTCCAACCTTCCTTTAAAAAGAAGTAATTGCAACTATATTCAAATTTAAGTTGAGTTCATCAATAATAGTTACTAAGTATGTGAAAACTTATTAAAGTTCCTTTTTAATAAAATTTATTCTCATTTTTCATTTTTCAAGCATTACGTCACGTCACGTTAATTTAATCGCATTAAGTAGAAAAATCTAATGGAATTTGCAGTATTAGACTTACGAAGAATAGAGACCTGCTAAAGCCAAGACCTTCAAGCGTCATAAACGTTTTTTCATCTCTCTGTACCAATACGCTTTCATTATGTAATTCTGTCCCAAATGTCACAGAAATTTATATTAAAATTAAAATAAGGCATTTGAGATAAAATGATCCAATTTTTTCCAACACATTAGTTACACATACGTTTTTTTTATGTTATAGGTCGGCAAACGAGCAGACGGACTGATGGTAAGCAAACATCGCCGACCATGAACACCGTTACGATTGCGTTGCCGACCTTTTAGGGATTTGGAGATTTGAGGATTTTGGGAAGGATTTGGCTTCCGGCAACCTCACCCACACGGCGAAAACAACGTTGTGATTGTTTCACGCCGGTTTTCTATGAGGCTGTGGTAGCACTCCTGTGGAGTCGACCCATTTGTGCCGAAGCATAGCTCTCTCAGATTTTTAAGTTAGGTATTCATAAAATACTCAAGTCCTTTTATAATTTAAATAATTTTAAACATGTTTGAAGGGTGAATGAACTGTTCATATTTTAATATTATTTGACATGTATTGTGTGCATTGTTCGCGATACCCGAGATTTTACATATGAATATCATATATTTTGTACAGAATAGGTGGGTGCTATTTTACACATTAATATTTAAGTATACGTGAGTTGTTGTTACTTACATATTTATAATGTATGTAAGTTGTTTTGTACATAACACATTGTTATTTTATTTTATTTTATTTATTTAAGCCTTTTAATCAGACATTTTCCTTTAGTTATTATTCATACATGTTCCTTTTATTCATGTTTTGAATGTCCGTTTGCCAGGTGGCAAAGGCCTCCTCCAATCTTCTCCATTCCCGTCTTTCTGTGGCTACTCTACCCCATGTTGTTCCAGCGACTTGTCTGATATCATCATCCCACCTTCTCTGTGGCCTACCTCTCTTTCTTTTTCCATCCCTTGGGTACCACTGTGTGATTATTTTGCTCCATTTGTCTTTTTCTCTAATCGTGTGGCCTGCCCATTTCCACTTTTGCCTTCTTATTTTCAGGGTTATGTCTTGGACCTTAGTTTTGCTTCTGATGTTGCTATTTCTTACTTTATCCTTTCTTTTGATCCCTACCATACTCCTTTCCATGGCATGTTGGCAAGTGGATAGTTTATTTGCAATGTTTCTTGTTAAAGCCCATGTCTCACTTCCGTATGTCAATACGGGCA